AGGTTATTTTTTCATTAAAAAAGATTCAATTGTATGGTCAATTCTTGATTTTCCCGCTGATAGTTTATGGGTTTAATTAAAGAATAGGTTAATAAGAATAACAGGATGACGGAAAAATAAAGTGATGACGAGTAACTAGTGGTACTAACAAGTGGTAATATTGATTTTTTATGAACTAAAATTGTATGAAAATAAACATTACAAAAATGCAATAATTATTATTGCAGATAATACACCGCAAATCTCATTTAATTCCGAATGAATGATGCACCTATCCGATTAAAACTCTTGATAGTGAAATTGACCACATCCTCAATACAGTTCATGTGCGTTCGTCGTGTTCAGGTGATCCCTTTTTTCTTTATTTCTCCCCGATTCAAACACACTGAAAGGCGGCTTGTTAACGAATAAGTGATCGGCCGAAGAAAGGAACAAAAAGTAAAATTATGACTTCATCTCTTGATCAGGACAAAGACCACCGGCTGCTAACAAGCACAAGACATGCCTGATTACAGCCCACGGTCGTATTCACGCAACAATCTTCCAAGATTATTCATAACTTTATTAGTGCAGCATTTGAAAATTACCCGGTTTGTTTACTACGTTTTATTTATAAGCACTCTCATGTAGGTAAATAGACAGATTATGATTTTTTAGAATCTTATTAGAACAGCTAGCACTATCAGCTGCGGCTCGTTAAGGTATTGCAAGTTATAAACATAACATAATGAAAAACATTGTTACGTAAACAATTGGGGAAATGTTTTATTTAATAACAAAGGAGAGAACCCAGAGAGAAATACAGATACCAATCATAGAAACAATCTATTTTTAGCAAAAAATTGTAATCTGCATGGAATATAACAATTAAATTTAATTATATTCATATTTAAATTTAAAATATATGTAACTAGTAGTATAGAATTTTTTTAATGGTTAGGTTGAGTAGATTCGTTACAAGTGATACTATTTCAAATAGAATGTGAATAAACAAACTGAAACTAGGCTATCCAAGACCTACATACGACATCTACGAAATCCTTTCTCTAAAAGTGAGACTTTGGTGTTGCTTCACACCGAGGATTGTTGGATCTTAGTTTTTGTAGGATGGAAAGAGTTACATCTTAATGATATTCTGATTTATTTGAAACTTCATTCTTACCAGTAACTGAGAAAGAAATGGACCACTTTTGATTTCAAACAACCTCAATGATCTTTACACAAATTGTCCGATGATGTTTCCAGATCTTGTAATGGCGCTATTCCTTGTACTTCGATATAACCTCAACTGGTAAAAAGCAAGATATCTCGAAAGGATAAACAGAAATACACCTATGATATGAAATTGAAAATATACTACATGAAATGCAACCAATTCAACTAGTTATGGATGATTTTGTTTGTAGTACAGAAGAGAGTATTGAGATAGAGGAAGGTTATTTGATCCACACAATATTTCATAAATAAATCTCCTATTACTTCTCTTTACATATAAGTACAACATGTTTGTGTTGTAATTCAAGTAATTAAATTTTTAAAACAAATTGAATGGTATGGTACGTTTTATTGAAACCCATTATTTGTGTTTAATGTACTTAATATTGATGTACCAAGCGCAAAATAATAATCAGGATTATTAATTTTAGTTTTGTAAAAGAAAATATAATTAATTGAACAATCTGATAATATGTTTTGAATATCCCATTCAGGGGAGGATCCAAGAGCTCCCTAAGAGCGGGAGCCCTTGGTACAAATATTGAAAAATACCTAATAAAAAACGCCAGAAATAATACACGCATTTTGAGAACATTTTCTTATGGCAATTTTAAACTTAAATGCAAATAATTTAAACATAAACAGAAATGAGATCATGACTTCATAAGAATTAAAAAGGAACTTCAAAATTAAAAACTGATTCTCATTGAATTAAGAAATTAGTAGATATGTGATATGTACATTTAAAATTAAACAAATGAGGAGCAATCATGCAGAACTCAATATGTCCAGTTTTTACAACTTTACTAGAAACGATTAAATTGTATTGTGAAGTTGGTATTTTTTGCTCATTAACCTTCCATTTAGCTTCCTAGTTGAGTACAACTAATTTTTAAATATGCAGCTTTTTTAAACCAAATATATTATCAATTTTCTCTTGAACATGTTCAGTTCTGCGAGAAATTAATGGACTTGCTAATATTGACTGAATTTGTCTTGGACATGTTCATTTTCGCACAAAATAAGGACAACATCTATAGGAATATTAATTTAAATTCAAGGATTACAAAAACCTGAATCTATTTATTATTGCCACAAAGATATAAAATAAGCATTTTACTTGAAAAAAAATACGAAAATTTAAATATTTACCGTGCCTTAATGAAAAAGAGAAAAGTAGGGTTAATTAACTAAATAATAATCAACGAAAATTTGTAGATAACATATTCATGATAGTTCTGTATACAATCATTGAATGTACACAGAGAAATACACAAAAAAAGAGAATAAAAAATTGCAAAAAATAATTGGTTTATATGTTCACACAATCACAACACTACACGCATTGCTGATATAAACGTGAACCATATTGTCTATGAATAGTAGACAACATTGACAACAACTTTCTACTTAGAAGTTAGGAGTTGAGTCCTTGTGGACCCACTCACAAAAACCTAACCTAACCTCTACTGCGACTATCAGCAGATGTGTCCAGATCCTCTGGCATTTTATAAACGCCTTCGAATGAACTAATCCTGGTAATTCTTGCCAATACTGGAGAGTTTTCCTTTCAGCCCAGGTTGAGATAGCCTTCTTGGCAATACTTGAAGATATACCAAATATCGGTTCTGGTCCGATGATTCGTGATCCCGCTCCTTCTTTGGCCAAGGAGTCAGCTATTTCGTTATCATCCATACCAGAGTGGCCGGGTATCCAGACCAGAGTCACTTTGTTGTTTTTGCTCAAATGATCTGACAACTCCATACCGTTTTGGAGTTAGATCGGTAGGAGCCAAGAGCATTTATAGCTGCTAGCCTATCTGAAAAAATTTTGATTGATCTGCGTGTAAGATGCATGTTTCAGCCTTCGCACACACAGTTCAATGGCATAAACCTCGGCCTGAAAAATAATTGCATTAGTACCTAGGCTTGAAGATATCCTCACCCTTGGTCTGTAACTATATACTCCGACTCCTGTTCCCTCAGGAATTTTGGAGCTGTGTGTATACCAGCAACTGTCTGCCCTTAATAGGTTTTTTTTATTCCGAGCCCACTCATCTCTTTCCGGAACAAGGGTGTTGAAAATCATTTCGTAGTTGGTCATGGTAGGCATAGTATCGGAGGGCATTCATAGGATGCTGTGACTCTCTATGTCATCCAGTAACCTGTTCCGCTGCATGATATTAGTCTGCGACATATTAATGGCAGCTTGTTGTAGTCCATATGTTGCCCACCTGGCCTCTCTCTCCAAATATATATGAAGAAAGGGTAAGTCCAGGAGGATTTCCATTGCAACTGACGCATGACGGTGTGGTGCTAATTGCCTCCATTACGGTCAAGCATGATAAGAGTTTGGCTTTGGCAGTTGGCAGTTCGTTGTGATCCTTTCGGCCACCAAACAATAGATCCGTACGTTATTATTGGTCTGATGACCATGACATAGATCCAGTGAATTTGTTGGGGACCCTTGCCCCAGGCTTTACCACAAATATGACGACATGTCTATAGGGACAGTTTTGCTTTGTGGATTACCTTTTCCAGATGGGAGTTCCAATTAAGTGTTTAGTGTGTCTAGGTAAGAACAGCTGTGATGTTGATTCTAACAAACAGAAGTGGTCCAAATGTTTAACAATAATGTTTTTTATTAGACAAACATACTATAAAATTTCACCAATTTTTATGTACAAGTTGTTTTTCCGCCCAAGGTTCAAATGACGCCGTTGGTCATCATTAGTTACTTTCAGTCGCATGCCGATGTTGTAGCGACTCTGATTTTATCTACCTAATTTTTAAAATTTCTAAATCTTAATAAGAATATTTTTAATCGTTATGTTCAAATTAATTAATTGCAATTATTAGAATTTCGGAATACAATATATGCATAGTTTATTAACCTCTGACAATTATAATTATATTTTCAAAGGATATAAAAATAAAGTGAATAAACATGTTCTTTATTGATGAAAAGAAGCCAAAACAAAAGAAAGAGAAATAAAAGAGTATGCAGAGATAACACGATCAAGTTGTGTGGTCAGTGCGGTGGTTCTTTTCAGTGAGATTGCGCTTTTTCATTAGTTGCAAGGCCGATTATTGCCAAAGGCTGTTAAAGACTTAACATCTCTCAATTTCATTCGGCTTATTTAATAAAAAATCAGACCGAAAGACGATAAAATTCTTTAATTGATACCGGAAAATAAAAACTGCAAGAATTTAGAAAACAACGTCAAGTCATCTACAGAGGCGTAGGTACTTATTATGGACCACCTATAAGTTTAAATATAAAAACAGTAACTGGATGATTAACAGGTAATGTTGTTAATAACATATTTGGGTCAGTTCATCTATGTCATTGTCTTTTATAAATAAATGATGATAAGTATCATCTCATCATAATATTAGATATTACCTACATTGTTATGCCATAACAATTTCCGATCTATCTACAAAATTGCAAATACTAATAAAAGTATAGTAAGAATTAATACAAAGTATTCCAACAGAGAGGGTAAAATTAATGTACAAATACTAATAAATACTAAAGAATAATACCTAAAAGGTACAAAGTTATAATCATCTCACTTGATTTAATTGCAGATTAAATGAAGCTGCCACACACACTTCTTGGTTATTTATAAATGTTTATCATATAAATGAGTATTTAAGAAGGAAAAAAATGAGACTTTATTCTTGGATTTGCAAATTTGAGTGGATCATTTATTAATTTTATAATTTTACATATTTTGTCAAAATGCTATCAAAAAAATATCCTTCATATAAGATGAAATTGTAGTCGAGTGGGTAAAGTGCTTTTAGCTATTTACTCGGTACCAAAAGTCGATGGTTCGATTCCATCGTGGAACAAGTTAGACATTTTATTTGTAATTTGTTTCGGGCTAAGATGGGAGAGGGAATTTTCGATGCCCTAGATAAGGTTCGGACTCCACAATAAACTGTAGGGCCTCGTCTCTCATTACACAAAACGGTTTTCTGGGTTTTCAGCGACTTGAAAGTCGGTTAAGAAAGTTTTAAATAAATTTCACTGACTTAAAGTCGACCATTCAAAATAGACAAATACTATAAAAAAAGGAATTTTAGGAATAAATTTTCGCTTTAACATTTTAAACTAATATAATGACCATTTTTTTGTCAAACATTTTTTAAGTTAGCTTTGGGGGAACAGAGTAAAGGCTGTTAAACGTATCATATTATATCCATAAACCTAGCTGTTTGTAAGATTTATAACAAATTAAACGAATAAACTGATAAGAAAGCTCTAAATGCGTAAATATATAGTAAAATATCACAAACAATAAAGGGACCATAAACCATATCGATTAACAAATGAAACTACTAAATCGGTAATAATGAAACTGGTATAATAATTACTTGAGTCTTGACGTAATCTTTTTGTCTCAGCTTGCACACCTGTTGCATGTAGTAAGCTGGCAGCAATCTAACTACAATTTACTATAGGTACGTAACGAAAATTCATACTTGGTGATCTCTAAACTGGTTCTGGTCTATTTTTAGCGAAGTCTTAAGATTGTTTTGCCCAAGACTATTTAACGAGGCATTGTCTCAAAGTAGTTTTTGTTATATTCATCGGGAACCTCTTCTCTGATTTTGTGTTCCATAAAAGGACCTTGGTACTTGGAAAACCTCTTACCTTGTGATTAAAATTTTGTGAAGATTCTAATAAATTGGTCGGAATTACTAGATAGTTACAAATAGGAAGAGAAAACTATTTTCAGTCCTATTAATGATTCTATAAAGAGACGAAAATAATAAATATACCGATAAATCGAACGCGCAATTAAATTCCATTGGGGGAAAACATTATAATTTATAGAAAACGTTGTAGAACGTGGCATGTATATTATACATGTAATCTACTTTGTCATTTCTAAATGAATTAAAATATACTATAAAATGAACGTACGAGCTGAATCAAGAAAGCAACAGGTGTGTAAATTCTTAACAAATTACTAACCAACAGTTTATTTTTAGTTTTACTACAAATAAATATGTTTATTTAATAACTAGCTTGGATATTTATAGCATAAACAAATACTAAAATGAAAGCAAGGACATTTTCAATATCTAATAATATGAATTTGTTCCTTTTTACAGTTACAAATTATTCAATTGGGATTGTTAAATTTAGATATGTGAATCATAAAGCAAACGGTTTCTTTTAACAATATAATCATAATAGTCATTTTTGGTCTCACTACCACATGCATAATTTTTCTAAGACTGAATAAATAACAAAAATACAGTTACCCAATATAATATTGGAAGAACAAGCCTCTACACCTGTGGCTTTACGTCAAAGAAACAGTCGGAGGGTGTTTTTTGACAACCAGTATAAAGCAATAATTAAATATTTCCCTAACGTTACAGAAACGAAATCTGTTTAATTCTCACTTTTTAGTAACTTTTATAAAATATGTATGTGTAGTGTGACACTCGACACATACATACATATATTAATTGTTTATGACATCCAGTGGTAAAATTAAGAAAATGCCACAAATGACAGATTATCGAATCAGTCACACTGAACATAATGTGCATATTATCTTTTTTTGTAATCCAAGTTTCAGCGTTTTGACAAATAGCCGGGAAAATAATTGTTTAAAAAGAAATATGTTGTACTTATCTATGACAAGTTTTGTAAAAGTAGCAAATAATAATTAGCAAAAAAGATTTTTCAGCGTTATTATTTTTCATTTCACTCTAAATAACAGATCTGTGAACTTGGCACCACCATTTAGCACCCATTTAGCACCTTCCAAATATGGTTAAAAAAACAGAGGTGCTGATTGTTTTATCAAAGTTATTAACAATATTATAATTTTGGTGCTAACTTCACACCAGCACCACAACCATCGGTTCTAATTACGAAACCTATACCATCATATAGTACTTTAATACGTAGAAAAGCTGTGGAACTATTTGTTTAAACAAAGTTATAACCATTTTATAATTTTAGTGTCAACTTACACCAATCTATAAGCATCGGTGCTAATTGCTAAACTTATATCATCACTTAGCACTCATTTACCACCCTTGAAATATTAAAAAAAACAAACAACAGAGATGCAAATTGTTTTAACAAAGTTATTAACAAGTTTATAATTTTAGAGTCAATTCTACATCAGTACCACAACCATCGGTACTAATTAGGAAACTTATATTGTTACTTAATATCCTATTAGCTCTCTGTACGTATGTAATAGAAAATGCGGCGATAAATATTAAATATTATTGTCTTAAAATAATTATAAACAATTCATTACTTTTAGTGATGCTAGTTTCTCATTACCTAACTGACCGTGAGGATAAATGTGCTAATTTTAAAATTTCGGGTATTATTTGGCACCTTATTAGGTAGGAATAAATATTCTAAAGATTAAGTAAACCAAATGGAAATAGAAACCGTACGGCAGCGAGAGAAGCTAATAATTCAATAATTTCTTTATATAGTAAAATAGATCCAATAGTAAAATTACAATATTTCTTATTCATATATTAAAAACAAAAAAAAACCCTGCCAATTACTTGGGGATCAGAACTTTCTCACCATAGTAAAACTCGACTGTAGTGGAGTTTATAATAAAAGTAATTTTTGACGTTTTAAAGAAGTCACATTTTTGATGTTTCAAAAAAGTCACATTTTGACGTTTCAAAAAATTCACATTGGTAGAATGTCATTAATATTTTTTTTTAGACATTAGGACCGATTTTGCTCATCGATGAACTCAATCTCTTCCTTGACCTCTAGAATGTGTATAACAAATTTGAAAGCTTTATCTCAAAAACTGTAGCTGCTATCGCGAACCATACAAACAGACATACAAACACACAGACAGACAGAAATTTTTTTGTCTAAAATTTTGTGTATCGTCATAATTCGTCGAGATTCGTCCAGAAATGCAATAAATATTTTCAAAATTTTTTTCACGAATACATAACTTCTTCACTTTGAGGGGTGAGGATGTAATTACTTATCTTTAAAAAATAAAATACATAGGTAAGCAACGTCCATCCAAAGCCAACTAGTCCAGTCGTTGAAGTCGAGTACTCGGATCGGGTTGAAATATAACATAACCTAACTATTAAATATAACATAGAAGTATTAAATTATTGTTCATTTCCTACGTTCCCTACAGTAAAATTTCAGGAATCAAAAATTGTTTCCAGATTACTGGTGTGAATTTGACACTAAAATAATTAAATTGTTAATAACTTAGTTTGAAATAATTAGCACCTCTGTTTTTTTTTTGCTTATTTAGATGGTGCTAAATGGTGGTATAATTTTCGCACTTATACCATCGATGAGAGTTAAGGCCCTGGTGTGAAGTTGGTACTAAAATTATAAAATGGTTATAACTTTGTTTAAACAATTAGCACCTCTATTTAGTACAAGTTTCGCAATTAGCACCTATGGTTGTGGTGCTAGTGTGGAGTTGGCACCAAATTATAAAATTGTTAATAATTTTATTAAAACAATTAGCACTTCTGTTTTTTTCATTTTCAGAGGGTGCTAAATGGTTGCTAAATGATGATATAGGTTTCGCAATTTGCACCCGGGGAAGTGACCTACAAATAACATTCAGACAATATTATTAACCATGTACAAATCGTATTTTATAAATTTTCAAATTAGTTATGAATTATATCCAAAAAAGTTGCTTAACATGTCTGTTTTAAGAAAATCCCAATTTTTCTAAATAATTGTGATTTCGTTGAATGTTAATGTTATTGAGACAACAGAACTACTGGATGTTTGTGAAATTGTGAGATTTATATGCTAAATGAGATTGTTGGTGCCTTTCGGAAATGAAATGTTTCAGCAGGTAAAACATGAAATTTCTGTTGATTCCTGTGTGAACGGGATTATTTGCAAGAAAAGCTATGTATAAGATTATATACAGTTCAATTCTCATGAAAAGGCCCCTGTATTTTGCCTAATTTATAATGTCCTAGATACTGATTTAATATGGTTTTGTTCTAGGCAGGTTTTAAAGTGGCTTCTTTATTTTTAGAAAAACGATGGCGGGAGAATCAAGATTCTACGAATAAACCAAACCATTTCACAGGTACATTCTTAGAAATCCTTAAAAAAGTCGCGTTTTTAAGTTTCAGGTTTGTATTATAGTACAATCTGTTCGTTTTAAGTGCGAAGCAATGAAATTTTTAAAAAAATTATTGAGGCGATATATTTGGTCAAAACCCACGCGGGGGTTCCATGCGTCTGTAGTTTTTCTGGCATTTAAAGTTAACAATGTGATCGATTAATTTGTAAAACTACATAATGATATTTATTTAAGTCATATTCCACAAATATATTTATTAGTTTATAAACTCAAAAATATATAAAATAGTATAGTATGGACTTAATTTCAGTAGTGACTAACGTCATAAAAAAATGCAAATAAGATAAATAAGTGTAATACTGTAATCAGAATTTCCACCAAAAGTTATTTGTCAAATTCCTTGACCATTTACGTTATGAAATACTTTTTACCACTTCGTATGTTTTGTGCATATAATACTTATCCACCTCAACGTTACTCCAACGAGTACGTGTTGTATTTAAACAGCTTTCACAAATCAATTTAATTGACAATTGAATCTAGAAATTGCAGCGGCTCAGCATGGTAGGTTGAGTTCTTGTAAGTGAATCCTTGTCGGTCTACCACTGCAACCATTAGCAGGCCTATTCTGGCTCACTCCTCTTTGCATTTCGCCCAATAAGTTCAGTTTATTAATGAAACTGATAACTTTATTGGGTGAGAGTGTGTCCAGATCCTTGGCAGCAATTGTTCTTTGCCAAATATTGAGAATCGGATTCT